GGCCAACTGCAAAAAGGGAGAAAGGTAAAATTCAGACAGTTTTGTGAAATACCGTGAGGTGTCATGAGGGAGATGTCAGAAGTATTTAGAAACGTCAGTGACACACTGGTGCTGGAGACTTTCACTTACTGCACTGACATTGCCTCAGAGAAAACACTGCTGCTGGTAGGTTAGTGGCCGAGTGACCATGAACCATTTTAAGTGATGTATGTGGGCAAACACTTTTTATTAAAAAGTATTTATCTGTATTAGAGTATTACTGCATCTGTACCAGTAAACTACTGGTTTTCCATTTATCAGAATTTTTAAAGAACTTTACACTGTATTTTTTAGTTACAGTTTACCCTCAACATTATTTTGTATTAGTTTCAGATGTGTAGCATAATGGCCAATCACACTGTACAGTGTTCCCCCCGCTATTTCCAGTGCCCACCTGGCACCATCCAGAGTTATCACAATATCATCGAATGTATTCCCTATGCTGTCCTTTACGTCCCTGTGACTATTTAGTACGTACCAATTTGTACTTCTTAATCCCTTCACCTTTTTCAACCACTCCCCTAAACCCACTCTCCTCTGGCAGCCATCAGTCTGTTCTCTGGGTCTGTGAGTCTGGTTCTGTTTTGTTTGTTTATTTATATTGTTCTTCAGATTTTGCTTTTATATAATTTCTTGGCTGACTGCTTAACTGAGGTAAAATAACATTTGATTTACTACTTCTAAGAGGGTAGTCCTATGGTTGAAAATTCTCAAAAGTTAATACTTAATAATATATATATATATATATATATATATATATATATATAATTATTATTTTCCCTATCTAGAGCCACAACAAAGAGAGATGGTCTTGGACCCTTTTTGCTGAGGGGGTCCTCTATTCAGGGATGAAGTTGTGAGTCCACCCTTCTACTGAGGTTGTAGGTCCTTTTGAGGGTCCCTGCTTTAAACTCTCATGTACTTTTGTCTCCCAGATCCTCTAAGATATCATTATCACACCACTTCCCCAAGCTCCAGATTCCTAGTGTCAGCATTTACCTGAAGGGCAGCTCAACCTTCAAGTTTGGTTGCTTAGCATGATTCATGCTTGATTTTTTTGTTTATTTTTTATTTGTCAAAGGGTTTGCTTAAGAATTTCCCTGAATTTTGTATAAGCTAAGCAATGCATTTAAATGTGTATTTGCATTAATTTATCCAAGAACTATTTGTGTTTTTATCATCAGGACTTTGAGAATTGATATATTACTGGAAATAGAAGTCTAGAGTCCAGTAATTGTTGGCTGAATGAATGAACAAAAGAACAAATGAATGAATGAATGGTTATCCTTTCTAAATGGCTGATTCAAGTAAACCATTTTGGTCCAGTGCAGGTCAAAACGCACCTTAAGCTAGGTTTTATCTCACTGGATCTGGATTACTTTTGATAAGACAAACCAATTTAAAATATTCCTTTGAAAAATATGGAAAACCACATGACAGGGGAACAAAGTGGAGGATGACATCCATAATATACTGAGAAAGTTTGAAATGGAAAATTCCCTTTAATAAGAAACCACATAATAAAAAGTTCTGGTTATATTTGTAGTTACAAGCTATGGCTTATTACTCTGTCTAGAGAATCTTATAATGATTCATTGTTATAGGAAGAAATAAAATAGGGCTCACAAAGGAGCTTTTATCAGATTATAATGTGCCCTGTCGTAAAGTGGGAAAGAAGAGGTGTATCTGGCTATTTGTTGTCGAAGCTTATGTAGGCCTTGGATCAGATACTTATTAGAATTCTTTCTGAACCCCTGGGAAGCTTTTTGGACTGAATTCCTAGCCATGACCACACCCGAAGTGTAGTGCCTGAGAATGCTGCTCGGTAGGTCCTCTAGGTACTAAAACAAATCAAAACCAGTCCAGTTCATTCCAGCAAAAGCTGTCCTCCCATATGTTCTTTTTGTACCACATACTCTTTGGCTTTTCATCTTTCTGAAGACCAGAAATTCTGGTACTTTATAGAATTTTAGTGTAACTTGTCAGCCATGTAAGACTTGTGTTACCCTAGAGTGTGAGATGAGATTGGCCAAGGGATGACGAGCATTCAGATGGAGTGTCAGCTCCCAGGCCTGTTTCTGAAGCACCGCCACTGCTGTTGGAGTCTGCGGGAGTTAGGGAGCCCCCTTCATTCTCTGGACCGCAAACAGTAGCTGGGTCAGCTTTAGGAAAGTGGAGGAAGTGCTGGTTGTAGTTGTGGCTGAAGAAATTAGTAAACTTTTATTTTTCTTTTCTTCTCCGTGCCTTTTCATCTTTTGTTTCTGTGAATTAGAATTTCTGGACATGGCAGCCAGGGCTGGCATTGTGCACACAATACCCTTGGCTCCAAAGAGGTCGCAAATTTGGACCGTTTCCCAGATTGTACATCTGCCCCTCTAGCTTGCATCTCAGAGCATATGGCTGTGGCAGAGGGGGCAGATGAGAAACTGTCTCCACAGTGCTTTCAGAGAGGAAGAGACGGGAAGCTTCTTAGTTGTTACTTGAGTATTAACAGAGTATGGGTAGAACTGTTTGTGAATTGTCCTCAGTAAATTAAAATGTACACAATGCATTGTGGTCATAGAAGCCAAAGTAAGTACTGCCTAGTAGGAATACACATCTGACCTCTGTTGTTAAGGAGCTTACGTGTCGTTTGAAATGACTACAGCAGTACCTGCAGGGGGGGGGGGCGGGATTTGGAAGAGTCCATTTAGTGCTTTACATTGTATTGATTTCTCAAGAGCTGACGTATCATTTCCCTTAAAATTTTATTTCTATATGCAAATACTTATTGGAGTAATTAACTCACTTCAGAGAATGCTACCGAATGGCAACATAGGCCCGAGGCCCCAGGTTGCTGTCTCACTGCTGAGAGGATAATGCTTTATGGTCCAGGAGAAATATCAAGAGTAAGGACAGATTAAGGGAAAGAGATGGGTATGAGAAAAGATGTACCTATCATTACTTATCCTGAGCTCACCTGTCACTTTTGTTCTGAATCCATCCCCAACTGTTTCTTCCAAGGCCTTCTTCAATCGGTTAACAGCTTTTTTTCTTCCACCTTTACATTCTTCCTCGTCACTGACTCCTTCCTTTAAATCAGGAGGAATAATCAAAGTGAAAAAGAAACAGTGGGCTGGAAATATGAGTGTGTAGAAGCAGGGAGAATCAGATGGAAGTGGATCTAAAAAAGCACTGTACAGAAGTAGGTGCAGCCAGTAACCAGGTGCTGAAAGCTTTGTTTTCTTTGCCAAGAAGTCTCGCTTTGTCATGGAAATGACAGAGTGACCATCTAAAAATTAAAAATCAGACTTTGTCATATTCCTCTTCTAAGCTTTCAACATGGAGCAACTACATATCTACATGCAAAAAGAAAAAAAAGAACCTATACCTTTTACTGTATGAGGAATTAAGAATGGTTCATAGACCTAAATGTAAAAGCTAAAACTGAAAAACTTCTAGAAGCAAATGGGAGAAATTTTAGTCATAGTGGATTAAACAGAACAACTTTTTAGGACACAGTAAGACTATGAAGTATAAAAGGAAATTCAAGAAATTAGACTTTATCAAAATGAGAAATACTTTTTCTTCCAAAGATACTACTGAGAAATGAAAAGACAAGCCACACTGGGGAAATGTTTGAAAACACATATCCAGAAGAAGATCTGTATACAGAATATACGCGATCTCTGGACCCCAGGGAACACCAGTGTTTAAGGACAAGCAAAGGGCCAGCAAAGACTTCTAAGCTACTTTTGATAAGCAGTAGTGAGAGGCTGAAGATGATTGTTAGAGAGAAGTGGGTAGAATTGCTATTAGAGGGTATATAAGACAAGTAGATAGGACTTGATAACTTCTTACATTTGGGGGCAAGAGACAGGGGGACTCAGAGCCGACCTGAGACTGTGAAGCTGGAAGATCAGCAGAAAAGTGATACCTTTAATAGGAAAGAAAAAAATGCAGGAGGAAAAGCCAAGTTATGATGAAGAAGCATTTGCAAATATGAGTCTGGAACTCAAGAGATGTGTCAAGGTCAGCAATATAGATTTAGAAGTTATCTACATAAAGCCAATAGTTGGATCTTGGTTTTGTCCACATGATTGCACAGATTAAATTAAGTAATAATTCTTTTAAAGAGTTTGAAGCCATTAATTGATTTGGTTAACTAGAAGCCTCAGATGAAGGCACAGGCAGTTACTAGAGTTAATGATCAGTCTCATTTTTTGCTATTATCATGTTCAGTGGCTTAAAATGACTACGATGTTTCTCTGAAAATGAGCAGCTGTCTGGAAAGGCGAAATTTCTAGCAGTTATAAAATTGATACCAAGTTAAATCAATTTATATGTTTATATTCATAAAACATCATAAACATGCAAATGTGACCCTTTTGCAAGTTTTTAAGTATTAGTGGGACAAGAGTGCATACAAGTCATTATGCATGGAAATTGGCACTGACTTTACCCATGCAGTCTTGTGTTTCCTTTAAAGATTCAGTTATATGTGTGTTTATTGTATTAGTCATCTGTTTTGATCAACTGACAAAAGTCAGCTTATACACATACTTCCACTTAGTAAAATAATGTTGAATAGATTATGATATGTTCTTCCTAAAGTAGTTAGTATTATCTTCAGAGGTTGATAGATAAATTGTCTTATTATTTAAAAATACTTTTTATTGTATATGCATAAAAGGTACAGGTTTGCGAAGAACAACTTTTTTATATCTATCATAAATTGATAATTCATATTATACACATATACGGTATTTTAGTTTGCGTACTTATTATGCCATGTTTGCTGGTATTAATGCTGCAGTTTTTACAAAAATTGCTCTATGCTGTCCTCAGAACAAGCAGGAAAAACATAACATTGAAACTGGATGGAGTCAGCACCAATAGCATACTCCACGATGAATTAGTATTTCTTTTGAGACTTAAACAAAGAAAGGGCTTCCAAGAATGTGCATTGAACACCTACTTACCTGTGGCCTTTGGGAAGAATTGGGGTGGTGAACGGAACAGATGCACTTTCAGGAGTTAATATCTGATCATCAAACTCTGAATGCTAGGAACAGTCTGGAATATTTACTTTGGAAATTGATGTGAAGGGCTCTGCAGCTTCTTTTCTGTCATTGACTTTTGAGATACTGCTGTAATTAGGACATTGTTTTTCAGCCTACAAATGGCATAATTTCTGTTACAGTGATCAGGGTGGAATGTCAGTGCTTTTTTATGTACCATTTTCAATATTGTCACTGATACCAAGACTTCACGGAAGAGATGGTCAATGCAGTGTAGTTATATAGATGTCACTTTTCATTAGTTTACTCTCAAAAAGAAGGAAAAAACTCCTAGGGGAACATGGGTAACAAGGAAGATATTTTATTTTTTTAACTAACATTCATTGCTCTTTTTAACACTTGGTACTTATTAATTACATTAAGTGTACATCACATGCTAATATGGAAAGTTAAGAAATATTCAGATCTTTGAATTTTCAAGAAGTGAATTTTACCAGATACAAATTTATTAAATTAAACAGGCTATTTCCTAAAGCTTAGAAATCCTCTGTTCATATAGATTTTTATCATCTTGGGACTTTGCCAGTGACATAAAATATAAATCTTAAGAGAGGGCTTTTGATTTTTACTAAAAGTAACTTGCACATCCTGTAAGACATCAATCACAGGACTCATTAGGAACATCATACTAAAAAATTAAAATGATTCTTATACTAAGATTATACCACTCTATTCTTGAAAATACATAGCTTCTCATCTGAATATGCTTTGCCTTTTAGAGTTCCATTTTAAGAAAGTAAAAGTAATTTTTGATTAAATATCTATTGATTTACTGTCTCCCAGGCCCACCAAATGGAGTTTTCTAAGACTAAAATGCAGTTACCTCTAGAATAAATTTTGGCAGCTGAAATGGAATTTGGCAACTGTTTAACTGGACACAGAAAATTCACTGAATTTAGAACAAGAAGTAAAGTGGACAGTATTTTATCTCATTCAGGATGCAGTGGTATTTTAAGGAGGGATAATAATAAGGTGGCAACCCAATATAATAAATAAATGAAAATGAATTTAGTTTTGTAGTTTATAACCCCCATGCAATACTGTAGATCATAAATGCAATTATTGGAGTCTTTTTTTAAAGATAACAGCCAGCACTGAGAATAAATACATGGGAAGTACTTAGCATAGCTCCTTGAACACAGTAAGTTTGCAATAAAAGTTAGCAATTACTGTGTTTTCCGTTGCTGTTTTCTATCCCATTCTGTGTCTCTCTTCACCATTCTCCCCCGGACTACTTCCAAGCAGCATGATTTTGGCTCACCTAGATTCTGAAGCCCAGCTTCTGTTCTTCTGACAACAAAAGGATTCTTTTCCATGCCTTCCCCTGTTTCCTTCTCACTGAGGAGAGAGGAGCAGACTGGCAGCGGCAGTGGTCTCCTGGCAGAAGTGTGTGGCACATGTGGTTTTTAGAGTCAGGTCCTAAGAATAGAAGTGATTTTCAGTGAGACATGTGGCTTTTCAGGCCTATTCTTGACTTGCCCTTACAGACAGGGCTCTTAAAATAATTTCCAACAAAAAGAATCCCATCCTCCACTTTAATGACACTAAAGAAGAAGAAACAAAGAACATTTTTCACACAAGATTTAGAAAATCTCAATCCAGGATTTTTTTTTTTTTGGTATTAAAATCTAAGGTAACTGAACTCATTTTGAAATTTTAGTACTGCATACCTTCACTTTTCAAAGGTGCTCATGTATTCTAAGTTCTCCTTTTTCTTATTTTTCTTTTGTAGTCCCAATAATATTTTTCCATTTCAGCCAGCAAGGATAACAGAACTCCTTTAACCTTTAAACGCTCGTGCAAGTGGTGATACTTGACTTCTCACAGTGTCCTGGTACCACAGGAGACACTGTGAGGGTCTGGACAAGATAAAAGGCACAGGAGCAAGTTTTCAGAGAAGGTAAAACTGATTATCCGTATGAAACAATTAAGAGCCAGTGACTTGTAAATACTAAACTCTAAAGTAGAAAGTGCCAGATTGTGTGGCACAGACAATAGAGCAAGATCAGCGTGGACTGTGTTCATCAAGAAAGGATTTGGCCTGAGCTTTGAAGGATTGGTTGGATTTGGATCTCGACAGAGGAGAGGGCGAGGCCTTCTGGGCAGCAGGGAAAGCAAAAACAAGCTCGGAAGTAGAAATGTCATGCAAATGTCATAATATGCCTTAATTTTAATAACTCTGTGGTCCTACAAGGTGACTTTGATCTCATTCTAATTTACATCAACAGCAAAGGTTCCAGTTTAATAGCTAGCTTCATTTAGAGAGAAGGGAGATTGAAAGGTAAATACTGAATACATGCATTTAAGGAATAATAACAGTAAATAGAAATATGAAAAAGCCAGAATTTTAGTCTCTAGCTCTTCTAAGCATAGTCTGTAGTCCAGGGCTTGTTTTTAAAAACAGAAGAGACCAAATTCTTAGAGCAGTATAAAGTAACTCAAACATTCCAGAAAACTAATCTAATCTGTGTAGGAGAAGAAGGATGTTTTTCTTAGTACTCTAATAAAAATGGCTGCCACCATATTTTATATGGCACCAATTCTCCTGGGTATTCATCAAACTCTTTTAAGGCTAAACTTCAGACTTGCTCTCTTTCCAGGGCCTTTATGAGTGAATGTAACTATCATTCAATTGCTTGCCATCTCCACTGAGAAAGAATGCTGACATCCAAATGTTTTAGAGTCAACTGCAAGAACTCATTAATATACTGTGCCAAAGTAGGAACTGCTGATCATCAGGGATTTGATCACAAAGTAAATTAGAGGTTGTGCATCACCATGTCTGTGACAAACATGCATTAGTAAAAGTAAATAAGCATGATGACAGACCGATTAAGCTCTGCTTACATAATTGGTTCTTGAAAACACTTTATTTCAATATATTAGGAGAAAAATGAGCATCAACTTACAAATCAGAGTGACTCCTTTAGAACACTGAACACAAGAATTCTTAGAATTTTGTACTAAAAGATCCTGGCAGAAGGCAGTATTGATTCACATTACTGGTCAGTGCTCTGAAGATGCTGTATTTTTCTGGATGTTAAAAATCTACTGAGAATGTAAGAGAAAGAAAATTGACTTTCAAGTACATTGAAACATTTGATTTGAAATGAGGTAGAAAGAACCTTGTGCTCTAATGTTGCTAGTGTTGTGAGACAGTAATTTGTGGATAAAAAGTAAAAATACAGGTCTACAAGTAATATTTTAACATTTTACTTCTGAGAAGACTTGGGGTGGTGAACACAAAATACAACATACAGATGATGTCTTATAGATGTATAACACCTGAAACCTATATAATTTTATTAACCAGTATCACCCCAATAAGTTCAATAAAAAAATTAAAAATAAATAAAAGGAAAATTGGAAAAATAATTTATTTCCAAGATATATGACCAGTCCAAAATAAGTTAAAAAATATAAAACAGTATAATTTTGAGGAAAACAGCAGAGGTTTGGCAAAAGAGAAGACCTCTTCACTCTTTGGGGAAAAAATTTGAAATGAGTGAAGATTCTCATGTGACCATGACTGGAACAGAAATGGAAGGAGAACAAGAAATCACATCATTTTAACAATCTCATTCATGAGCTAAGAAACCATCTTAGAAAATACTTCATTTGTGGGCTGGCACTTCTCAAAAAGAAGAAAATGTAACGTTCTTATATAAAAGACACATTCAAGCATGATTTTCCAAGCAAGTGGTTCACCCTATGAATAAAATTAGTATAAATCACCCAGTTTCAGAAAGCCCGTGAGGTTGAAAGAGCAGATATTATTTTATTTTATAAATGAGGAAACTGAGACGTTGATGCAAATAGGAGCAGAGTCTAGATCTGAATCTAAGTCACTTTAAACTTCTTCTTAAAAACCTAAATCACTCACAACTATTAGAATGTCCATTTTCCTTCAGATACATAATGTAGATAAATTCCAACCCAAACAGAACCTTTTTTTATTATAATTTTCCCATTCATCAAAATCAAGTTCTCAATAATTGACGGTCTCTCGAGTGCTTTTAAATACACTCATTTAGAATTTTGTACTAAAAACTTTTTGGTACTTAATCCTATGGAAATAATGACACACTCTTATAGCCAAATAGACTCTTTCACATTGTTTTTCAACTTCATTATTTTCATTTGTATTATAGTTCAGACATGATAAAGGGAGCAAGGAGGCTTTTTCGGGTAATGCTTCATGAGTAAGGAGAGAGAAGACAACACTGGCACCTAATTAGAATTTCCAAGAACTTTTATGTTCAGGAATTTATATGAAGGAATTTTATTGATTTTTTTACATCCCCTAGGGACAGTGGCGCTCCTGGGCTGCTGATTCTCAATAGCCAAACTCATACCTGGCAGACAAAAATGCATTACTTTGTGACAAGGTATAATTAGTCATTTCCCTCTGAACTGGAATAGTCATTTTAGCTGTCAGAGATATCTTTTTCTTAGTAAGAAAATTTACTTGCAGAAACAAATTAAGATCTGAAGGATACTTACCCAGATGAGCAAGCAAGGGGAATTGGATTACTTGAAAGGAGTTATATTCTTCTCCATCACTGGAATGTATCACAGACTTAAGTGTTTTCTAGGGATTCCTCCTGACACTTTTGCCAATCTCATAATTCACAAATACCAGTATAATTTGTAATTTTCTCCCTGAAATAGAGCAAATAATAATTGATGGCCTAAAGGGACATCTTCAGATTCTTCAGACAATAATGTTTTGAGTATGGAACTAAATTAATTCATAATACTATTTGTGTCAGTTAGGAATGCTCTAGGCTACAAATAAGAGAAACCTCAACTATTAGTGATATTAAGATGTAAGGATTATATTTCTGACATAACAAGTAGTCTAAATATAGGCCCCTGTTAGCAGGGAAGAGGAGGGAGAGTCAGTGGGTATTGGGTTTATCATGTTTCTGATTCTCTTGGGTTCTTCCTCTTGACCATCTCATGGTAAAAATAGGACAAGGCATAATGAGGGAAGT